CTTTACTATTCGATATTGATCAACACTTTACCACAAAATCCCAAGAAATGCACTTTATCCTACATTAAAATAATTGCGAATCGAAAGGTTGACCTAGTTTCGACTATTGGTTACATTCGTAGGCCTGTGTGCTAATAGCCTAGTACGGCTGTGCTAACGACAGGCAGAGGGCTCTCACTCAGACACAGAAGCCAACGCACAGTGCAGCTGTGCTGACACGTAGAGGGCGTGCGCTTGGTGAGCTACGGGTTAGATCTACAGAGCCCCTCTGGGACCGACCTAAGGCAGAACATGGAACAACAGCGAGCGTGAGGGCTGCAGAGTTATTACGCGTCGACGGTTCAGTTCAAGAAACATTTTTTCTAAAATCGACTATTTGCTTTCCCGTGGCAGCATGAGATCTTTCTTCGTCACATATCTGTTCGAAGTGAGGATCAGACTCTAAATAAGTTAATTATTGTCAGATTCTCACATTTTAACAAATGGGACGGAGAAAGATATGGGGTTACTGGAAAGCCTAAAAAAGGTATATTTTAGAAAAATGTGGCATACGGCTTTCTTGAACTGAACTGTGGACGCCTTCCTCTGAGTCAAAGTTGACACATCTAGGGATCCAGGCACTACCAACATCAAATCCTATTCATCATCATCATCATCATCATCATCATCATCATCATCATCATCATCATCATCCGGTGCCTTGCGACTGGCTTGGGCGATCATGGACCTCCACTTCACTCTGTTTTGCGTTCCAGCAATGGTGTCTGTTTTTCTTGCTGCTCCCAGCCATGTTGTGATCTTGTCCAGTATCTTTTCCCTCTGTCTGCCTCTACCTCTCTATGTATCAAACTTGACTGTTGTTACAATATTCTCCAATGAACCACAAATCTGTCGCCACAATTGTTCTTTCCGGCTATTTATTGATTGTCCATGCTTCGCACCCGTATAATAGGATAGGCTCGATGTAACTTTTCAGTACTCTTTTTCTCGTTTCCAGTGACAGATTGATGTTTGTGAAATCCTACTCACCCGACTTATAAGTCAAGAAATCTGCGTAGAGGTTAATGCCAGCTGTGACTGGTCCGTGATCTACGAGCTCTTGGGCGATCTGCTGGACACCTTTGATGCCGTAGGTGGAATTACCTGCAGGAGAAGAAGAAATTAATAGATGAGATCGGATAATAAATAATTAAATGAATCTTTACTATACTCTCCGTCTCTGTCTCTGTCTCTGTCTGTCTCTCTGTCTCTGTCTCTGTCTCTGTTTCTCTCTCTCTCTCTCTCTCTCTCTCTCTCTCTC